AGGGAAGGAGGGAGGGAAGGAGGGAGGGATGGAGGGTAACCCTTTATGCTTATCCACTTGTACTTGCACCCAAAAAACCCAAGTGAGCCACACATCTGGCAGTATTTTGCAGAAGCAAATATGAAGTGTCTCCCATCTAATCCCAGCAACTCCGCCAGCGACCGCCGGAAAGTGGAGACCGTTTGCTCTCTCTGGCAGTCTGCTTGCCTGACTTGCGGGACTTACTGTACTTCTTCTGGATAGCGGTAATTTGGGGGGTTAGGTTTATTCGGCTTAAAGGGCTTATAGAGACAGCAAAAGCATAGCGACGATCAGACTAAGAGATACCAGCCCAATGAAGCTACTTCTAATTAACTTCCGGCTGAGCATGGGCCCCCTCAAGGAAACATGAGGCCGGCCCTTTCACCCTATTTTCAGTTCAGGGTTGAGGCTTCCGAAGCAACCTCGAATCCCTCGCAGCACCAACGCTAGTTCGACGGTCTCCGAAGGCAAGACTTGAACACACTGGGCTTTACGACTCCAGTCGCAGAGCATTGCCGGTGGGCAACGAATCTGGAGATTTCTTACGGGAGCGTAATACGATTTCGTGGGGTTCGTATAGGGCATACGAGGCAGGTGACAGGCCCGAATCTTGCCGATCTGCATGGGATTTGACGATAGCTGAGAAGCCTGAGTCCAAGACCTAGAGCATTTCTTCCAGCTTCAGCCGAGTTGCGGCTTCTTGGGAGTTGTGCGCCTCTGCATGTTCACAGCGATGTCCTCCGGATATAAGTCGGAGTACATCATTTTTCCTTAGACTCAGCGACACACGGAATCACACGCGCATCCGGGTTGCTAAGGTGCCTTGACAAGCTTGAGGGGTCATGACTCATTCCGAGCATGCACTTCCTGCAGGATCGAAGGGCGTGTCGCTTCTCTGGACTCCCAGCTGTCAGTGAGGACCAGGTCCCGACGGGACGGCGTCTGGCAAGCAGAAGAGATGTCTACAGTGGATGGCTTTTGCAGATGCCAACGAACTATTCTATGCCATGGGCATGGGATCCTACAAGCTCACTATAAAGTGAGCTTCACTGCATTGCTCGTGTCGCGCCTATCGAGGCCAGCTTGACAGCTTCGGTGACTGCAACCCGAGGTAGCCAGCTCACAGGGCTTCTACAGTGAGGCTCACATTGTTGTCGCTGCAGACATGAGCAACGCAGCTCACCGAAAAGCTACTTTGGCGTTTACCCCTGGAACTGTATTCTGAGATATTAGAGTGCACAACGAAACGCCAGGCTCAGCTGTGATATAGGCACCATGATCTTTCCCTACAGGACTGCTGCAAAATCCCGACCCCCAATACCACCCTCCAAAAGTCCCTTAGGAAACCCCCACAAACCCCGTAAACCTCTAAACACCCGTGTGGAAATCCTTGCCAATCCCAGACAGAGTCCCTTATATCGAGTAAGGCCCTGTTTAAATCCCTTACAAGGCCTTTTGGGACCCTAATGTAGGGACCCAAACAATCGACCGATACTATCCTGGAGGCTCCTTATTATAATTATGGTATAATGGACCCCCAAACCCTATTCTAGTTATTAAGGCCCCTACACCCTAAACCCTAACCCCTAAACTCCTCATTATTAAGGCCCCTAAGGGCCCCTATCTTCGCTTCTGAGGGCGCGGAAGGTCGGGCCTTTGGAGCCCGCTTCCGTGAGCCACTCGCCTCACCAGGTCTTCAGGCTTGGAGGCTTGTGGAGAGCCTCTGGGCTTCAGAAGAGCTACATTAGGCTACATGAGTCTGTATCTTTTTGTCGTGTTATATATATATATATGTATATATATATATATATGCGCTGTGTTTTGTCGATATTTTAGGTGCTATATGGGCTTTGTTGTCGGTTTTTGGTGTGCTATGGGTTCTTGCAGTGTTACAGGGTATCGAATTCTGTGGCCTCAGAAGGGATGGCAGGGCTTCAAGGATTTGATGCGGGTCCTCCGACGCTGTTACCAGGGTAAGGCCTCCACAATGGTTTCGTAAGACCTTCTAAGAGCTTAACGAGGTGCAAAAAGCGTCGAGATGGGATTCTTGTGTGAGGGTGTTTATTGAGATTCCAGCGGGCAAGGCTTCGGGCTCGCTGGTCTGTTGCGATGATTCATGATGATTCCTCGGGTTCTTGACTTGCATGACTATGATTCTCTTGTGTCCTAAAAGCACCCACTTTCATTGACCCTAAGGCCAAAACCTACACAAGATTCAACCTCTCCTCTACTTGCCGGCTGTGCTAGGGAAACCATCTGTGGGGCCTATTCAAGGCCTTCTTGCTGGGTGCTAAATCGTGAATGACCCGTTTTCTAGATTTCATCTTCAGGGGGCCAACTCAAGGTCTTTTGCAGGGTGCTGCGCGATTGATGAGGTTAGCTTAGTGTAACTTCTTCGCGGCTCGCCCATCGACGCCCAAATCCAAAAGGTAGATCGATGATTTGACTTCGAGATTGCTCGTGCTTGTAGCAACAAGAGCAATCCTAGCCAATCTTTAGCGATGATTGCGACTGCTGCACTGGGTCTTCTGCACGCAAGCAGTCGCGGGCCTCAGGCGTCCCAGACAAGCGATGGCTCCTTTGAGGAGTGCCTGACAGCGGTGTTCTCTTTCTGTACCTCTCTGACTCTGTCTGTGTCTCTCTGTACAAGCAGTTGGGCATACATAAGGATTTACAGGCAACGAAGGTACAGACACACTTTTTTCACGTAGCAATATATACTTGAGTGAGTTGCATGTTGTTCTGTCTTCTTGCACTTTCTGCAGGCTGATGTGTTGCATACCGTATCTTCTTCAAGCAGTTATTTTCGCTTGATTTTGTTGAATGAGCTTCTGTATTTTTGTCCCCCAGACACAAAAAACCCAAAGCTGAGTTGATCCTTCTTCTTCGAACAAAAAGAGTTATACTCGACTTTAGTGGGTAAAACATCAGCGTGATAGTGACAGTACCGGAGCCTTGTAGGCCTGGCGAAGCGCTCGCCGGCGCCTGCAGATGCAACTGCTTGGCCCATTGGCGGGGGCAAAGTGCTTAGGGCTTAGGGCCTGGGCTTTGCACATCCAGGGTCGGTACGAAGAGGCTCTTGAACCCTGTGGCACGAGGCTGGCTCAGGCTCGCAAAACGATGTTGAGACCTACAGAAGCCTGTCCCACAGACCACCAACCATACATGCAGAGTCAAAAAAGCAACAGACCAACTACCGTTCAAAACGGCTGCTGAGGCGACGACGGCTGCCTCGTCCAACTGTTTCAGCTACACTGCAGGTGATCAAGTTGAAAGCATTGATTCAGGAAGCAGACGTGCGATGTCTCGCAACTGGAGGACTCAAATGACTGTAGGTCTATGCTTGATGCTTGCGTCGAAGCGTGAACATCAGCTTGAAAGAGCAAAAAGACACTTACCCACCTCCCCCACCCCCCTCCCCACGCCCTGCACAAGACCAGCGCACCTGAATCTGCTCTTGGAGCCTCATTGGAAGGGCGTGCGCGTGAAGGCTCAAAGTGGGCATCTGCAAGAGCACTTCTACATCTTCTCGCGCACGTGCCAAAAAAAACAAAGCATGCACCTCCCAGCTTGGAGTTTGAAGGAATACCTTAAGACCTTGACCTCACCTCCAAACACACGAAGGCATTCAAGTATGGGCGGGGCATCTGCTTCTACTGGCACACCTCTGACTCTAACAGAGAGGGGGAGAGAGAGGGAGGGAGAGAGAGAGAGAGAGCGAGCATGTCAAGAAGCTCCGGTCGCATCCTCCAAAACCGCGGGGCAAGCTCTCCCCCGCGAGCAACGAAAGAAAGAGACTACGGTACCAAACATCCGACTTACGGGTCAGCTTAGGCATAGGCCTGGTATCGTGCATGCCTGATTTACGAAGATGCCGGGCCGGGAATACCAACGAACTCAAGACTCTTCAGATTCTTGTGACACAACTTCGTCGGATAGGTTGGTGTCCAGAAGAACTGACTTGGAATTGCTAGAGGGAGCATGCCAAAGACGCGTAGGCCACAGGTCAAGCCCCAGGTCTTCACCCCAAACCCTGAGCTAAGCAACGAAGGAGGCTGCATTGACCGATCAAACGATAGGAACTGCTGTGCGCCGTGCCCGTCTGAGCCCATCATGGAATCGTTTCCTACTCGGTGCTACTCGTTGCGGAGCATTGATGCAGTTTAGAGTATAAGGGCCTGAAAAAGCTTCAGGTTTGTCGGAAAGTCGCAGCCTGCATGCTGCCGAGGTCACCGGGTCGTCTCCTCGAGAAGCGCCTGCAGCTGTCGCTGGTGGGCCGCACCCCTGCAAAGGACTTTAGGCAAGGAGGAGGAGGGGGGGGCTTGGCTTCTCTCAGACTCTTCAAAATTTAAAAAACTCGGGCTCTTCCATCCTTCGTGTCGCTGAGTTACCGCACTGCAGTCGACCGCAAGATCGTCAAACGGCCACGGTCCCTGCTAGGTCTGCTAGGCCTGTTGCGATAGCAGAAACTACGAGTACGAGACCGGATCCCGAACCTGCAAGACATAACCCCCGGATCACCTCGAGTTCATCTCCTCTGAAAGGACCGCCATTTTCGCTTCCAGTGCCCTGCCTGTGCCAGAGATGCAGCTCATCCTTCTTCTAAACTACGGGCCCTGCACATGATCTCCTAAATAAAAATAGCGCATATACCTGGAGACTCCAGCACGCAAGCCCTCCTTGCACGGAGGGTCCGGAACAGGACCACAGGACCTAATTCGAGACCTTGCGATGACGAATCAGCTCTCGCTGAAGTAGCGCAAGGGAACAGAAGCATGTGTAGTATGCCGGCCGACTGCGTGCCGTTTGACCACGCTCTTGCGTCTAGCGCCTACGAGTCTACGATGTGTGTTGGCGGTGAGGAACGGGATGTCGTTTTTGGCGCAGACGCCCCTTCTGGAAAGAGGGAGCTACCCTGTTGGACTTTCCACAACTTTTGGAAAGATGTGCATCCCCCAGTCCGGGCGCCGCTTTTGTGAACCCCAGATGTCCCGAATAACCCTAATACATATAGTGACGCATAGTGCATCTCGGATGCTGGCAGCCGGCGAGTGAAATTCCTGGCAGAGTTCGCGAAGAGGGCTGAAAGGTGCCCTTGCACTGTGTCAGTCGCACAACTAGTTCATGCCTTTCTCGTCCAGGAGCCCTGCGCAACGACTTCCTGGAGACCCGACAGAACACGTGCCCAACATCACGGCCTGACCCTGAACATCCTTGAGCCCATGATTGCCTGGAAACCTTGCAATGCTAAAGCAGCGGCACCTGGGCGTGCTCCGGCAACGGTTCCGGAAGCCTTTCGGGATTGAATCGGTATCAGACTACTCAAGCAGAACCGACTGCGCACCTTCTGCTTCGAGGTTCCGGTAGTATGTACGAGTGCTGATCTTTTGGTTTTGGAGGCAGAGCTTTGTGATCCGTGGCCATCCTTGGCCCACTCAAGTCATGAGAGGGTTGCCATAGGATGCTTTGCGCATGATTGAATACTTGATTGGTGAAGCGGCAAAACAGTGACAAACCTGCAATCCGTAGGGTGAAACCTAAGGACTCGCTGCTTCTAGTGTGATCTAACTACTGCTTGCTTGGACTGCAGATTGGACGAGGCACCGAGACTGAGTAGCAGCACTAGATGTGTGGGAATCATTGGAGAGTGGCAGCGTGCTTAGGGCTGAAGAAATACGTAGCGATGCAGACCAAAGACCTGACATGCACAGCTGTAACAGCGTGCCAGTGCGAGGGGACCTGTCACTGCATGGCTCGACCAACGCAATGATAGAGTACACAGCACAATGCCTATGGTCTCTGACATTAACAGTAGCAATATGGCAGCCAAGCAAGAGCTTATTTTTCTTCAGAGGCGACCCAGGATTTTGTATTCCAAGGCGAGGCGGCAGCGTCTTCTTTTGACCTTGGCGGGAGCATCCATCACTAGCAACATAGCGGCAATATGGAAGCACCGATGAACTTAGTGCGGGGTGGCGGGGTGGCCAAGTCATCAGTTTGGCAGAAATAAGAAGGTATAGGAAGCGCGCTGATGCCCTTCGGAAGCGAAGCCGGAAACATCGAACAAAATGCCGGAGCTGACGACGACCGGCAAGCTTCATGGCCAGGTTAAAAAGAATGCACCCATGTCACTAACAATCTTCAAGCCTTATCCAGCGCACCTAGCTGGGCGCGCAGAAACCCGCAGGCCTCAACACGAACCTGAAAAAGTTTCAAGTCTTCGTCTTCGGCCTTCCACTGCACCTCAAAGCCTCCAACTGCAAAACGCCCTGAATCCCAACGATGAAGCTGAGATCCGGGCAGAGTAGGCCCTCCCCATGTTAATGGCACCCACCACTTCCACCTGATTCCTCGGAACAGCAGGCACTTCTGGGCTCTTCTCCGGCGACTGGGGCAATCTCACATACCCCCTCAAAGTCTGAAGCTCCTGTTTGGAGAACTTGTTCAGTCTTCAGCCCGAGTCATCGAGCTCACGGTTCCCACCAACGGAGCTTCGATCCTGAACTGCCCTCCCCGAGTTCCGGTGTTTGCCTGCGGGGATCCAGAAATCTGAGGAAGACCAAGTTGCCACATCTCAAACTCGGGCGCTAGGACGCTAAGACCTGAAAAAAATGCGGCGGTGGAGGCTTTTGTTTTGGGCTTCGCGGTTCCGGGCTTAGCTTAGCCGCGTTATAAGGGTGTATATCGGATGTGGGCTCCGGATCTAATAATTCCAAGCGTCGGGGAAGGCTTAGTCTGGGCCTCGGGCTTTGCTAGCACCTCTATCGATTTTAAAGGCTCTGTGACTTGAAAGCTTTGGGTTCTTGGCTATGGAATCTGAGGCCGATGGTGGTGTTCCACAAAACTCGATTCTGGTCTTGGCCTGGATGTCTTTAGCAGAAGGCTGTGCTCCTTACGGAATGCCGGTGAAGCTTACAAAAAAGACGATGGGTTGGCTGCACTTCGGGCGTCGGTAAGCCTGCATGCCTGCCCCCTGCAACCCCCAACGAATCAGCAGGCCCAGAGAACCACATTCAGCATAATGTGGTATTTCAGTTCGACTGCTCGATTTGCGGTTGAAGGCCCAACTAAAGCGAACCAACGCCTACCTCGGGCCCACGCTGACAAAACGTGTCCCGGGCCGCAGCGCTGCGACGACAGGAGCATCTTCCACTGGCCTCGCTCGGGAAGGCATGTGGGCACAAAAGGAAACGCGGAATTCAAGCATTGCTGTACTTTTCTTCACCTTCGCGAGTCGTAGGAGTCCTGGTGTCGCAGCACTGCCACAGTCCTCTTTGGCTTGAACATCCGGCACAGGTGACTGAGTATGAAGCTCTTCCGGCAGGACAAGTGGTCTCGGAGCTACACCGACCCCAGGTGTTATCCAGCACGTGCCCAAGCATCAGAGTTGCATAGACATGCCACACGACTCGGGCTGCAACAGTGGGGCTTACCAGGCAGCGAGCCTTTGGGAGCCAAGAGCAGAAGCTAGCTAAGCCTTCCGTCCTCCTGCATCCAGGCCCACACATCTGAAAGAGATCTGACGGTTTTGGCATCCGCGGCTGTGGCGCCGTGCCTGTTCAGAAGGAGAGCTCGGCAGCCTGCTGCTATCGCCCCACAGTAGTCCTTGCTGTAGCTGTTCCCCACGTGCAGGACGTCCTTCAGCTCAACTTCTGCTCTACGTGCAGCCAGCTGGAAGATGGCCTTGTCTGGCTTCTCTACACCCTCCAGCTTTGAGATTACGCAGAAGTCTATGTACTCCGCCATTCCCAGAGCGGGCAAAACACTCTTCTCGTAGCTCTCCGTGGCATTCGACAGCACGCAAAGCTTCAAGCCTTCGACCGAGCGCGCCCACCGAAGCAGGGGGAGAGCGTCCGGATATGCTCTGTAAGCTTCCTGGGTTTGAAACAATGCGTAGATCTCGGCGAAGCCCTTGTCAAAGGCTTCTACATCTCTGGACAAGGCGGTGTCCTCCACAAGCTTGCTTGCCACCTCTCTCCAGAACGTAAAGGAAGAGATGGTCCCATGTCCGAAGAGAGGAAATTGCCGGCTGGTGGAAGTGAAGGCGGCAGGGAAGCGGGCATCGAGCTCTGCTGCTGAAGGCAGCACATTCGCTGCCACTCCACCGCGAAGAAAGCCTGCAAAAGATGTAATGACGCTAACCTCTAGTGATACTCATAACACTAGTGCGAGAACCGTCATCATATGCATAATCCATTATGTTGGTACTGAAGACCATGCGTGTTGACACTGATTAAATGGCAGGCTGATGTCTGCCAAGGGGCCTCGGTGGTAGAGGGTGCCAATAGTGGCAGACCACTCCAGCAGCGTGTCGGTGACATCAAGGCTCAGAAGACGAATGGGCATTGTGGCTGTGATCACGAGTTTTGACTCAAAACTACTGGCTCTCTTGTTGAATGTGAGGGGAGAACTGCGATCAAAGCCCTGAAGACTACGACTATGGAGATTCTCTCGAGTTTCAAGACGCAGGCTAAACTTGCTTGAGCCTCTGTCTCCGGATAATCTGCACCTGAACCAGCAAACATGTAAACAAACCAAGACTCGAGTTCGGCACACAATCGGAGAGACAGACAAACAACCACACACACACACAGACAAACAAAAAAACAATCAAGCAAGCAAGCAAGCAAGCAAGCAAGCAAGCAAGCAAGCAACATGATGTGCACATCTCTGTACATGTCCAACCTCTTGTGTGTATGTCTGTCTGTCTGTCTAAGCGAGCATATGACAGCATATGTGCGCATGTGTACACATTTGCAGCAAATGCCTGAATCCATCCTGAGGCGAGTCGCAAGAACATGGGCTTGTGTGCCTGTGAAACCGCGCATGCCCTTGCACCTACAGTGACAGGCATGCATACACACAGACAGCAAGACCGATGCACATACAGATATAGTTACATAAATTCATGCAATGTCTCCACATCTGTCCGTCTAGCCGTACGTCTTTCCTCTCCCTCCCCACTATGTGCCTCAAACCTCAAGCCCAGAGCTCTAGACTCGAATGCATCGGGTGTGGGTTCATTCCCACCAGAGTCAAAGAACAAGTTCATGACTTGCGGGTGTTGGGCGTTGGGTGTTGAGTTTGGCAGCGTTAGCGATAAGGGTTCAGGAAAAGACTGCTGGGGACAGGGTTCGGGGGCTTGGGTCTTTCAGTTCAAAAGAAAGGGGAAAGGCCTTCTGAGCCTGATTTAATCTGTCCTTACGACTCTGATGCGCATTCCACTGAATCCGACTATGAAGCATTGTTAACAAGACCTGGCTCAGGAGTCTGACAATTGCCGCCTTTAAGGATGCTTAGTCCGTTTCGTAGACTTCAGGGGCCCTTGAAGCCAGTCCTGGAGTGTCAATGGAGCCTACATGAAATGAGGGTAATTAGAGCATTGAGCGCTGAGCCAGTTTGCAACACTCACTGACGACCACGGTACTTCAAAGACGACGGCATGAAAACAAAGCTTGTCACTTCTGTCGGGCACCTGAACCCTCAACCCCGAAATCCGAAAACGCAAACACCGATTTCGGGCCACGTCACAAACTCTGACCCCAAGCACCCCAGAACCCTAAGCTCTGAACCCTCAACAGCGAGGCCTGCAGGTCGCTTCCCCCGTGGAGAGATCATAGTCAGCCAGGCCTTGGACATTGCTGGCGGTTCTCTTCCCACGCCCTCCATCGCACCCCCCCAAAGCAGATGATGCGCTGGTTGAAGTAATCGAGATGCGGGGCTCACCAGGAAGACGATTTGTCGGGCTGACTAGGTGTCCTAGATGCTAGTCTTCAGTGAGAAGTCAAGTCGAGGGAGGATGCTGTTACATGCCGACAGCTTAACAGCTGCAAGTAGAAGACATGTCGGGTCTTCGAGGCTTCTCGATATTCTACGTCTTCCTATGCCGATCGGCAATGCCTCAACAACCCTGGATCGATCTCCTCAACGGAAGCCGCCAAAAGACTGACTCCTCAGATAGGTTCTAGATGCGAGGGCAAGATCAGAAGCAAGATTAACACTAACAGAGCCTGCGATCAAGCCCAACATGGATCATGACAGCTGGAGGATCCGAAACCAAAGCCGACCATGCCTGCCCTAAAACAAGAAGTCCTAAACCATAAATCCTCGCCAGCGGCTGTTGGAGGCATAGTAAGCCACCGTTGTGCTTTCCACTGCCTTGTCTCTGGAAGGAAGTTCAAAAAGAAAACCTACAGCCCAAACCAGGGCATGGCTTAGCAAAAGGAGGTCCGAGAGTCCTAATTCCGAGCTTCGGCTGGGGGTCTGCGGTTCAGCCGTCATGTGCGGGGTTCTGAGCTCCATGCAAAGTTGTACTCCGAAGCAAGGCCTCTCTTATGAGATGGAGAGGTCTGGAGAAGGTCGGCATCACAGCCACGCTTGAGCCTCGCAGACCCAAACCTTGAAATCTAAACCCTAAAATCTAAGCCCCACGAACCCAACAACCCTGAACCAAACCTCTTAACCTGCATTGGAACCCTGGAGTAGCCCGCACGACTAGCCGGATCTTGCGAAGTGAGCCCAAATTCCTGGCCTCGGCCAGTTTCGGATCGGAGCCCGCATTGAAGTCCCCCTGTAGGAACTGGACCTCTGGAACACGGGTGTAGGGAATGAGGGACTTCGGTCCAGTGCTGTCCGAGTGTATTTTTGATACTCCCGCACACTAGGGCAACGCAAACGCAAGCTCTGAACTTCCGATCTCCAGAGGCTTTTCTCGGGTTCTCAAGCTGGTCCAGGATCTGGGGCCCGATTTGCCTGGAACTTCCTTAAGCGCGCACCTGCTGACGGCAAGTGGCGGGGCCCGCAATTCCGAAACCTGGGAACAGCCTCATGCGCCAAAGACATCCTACGACCCCTGCAGGGAGGGCGGCTAACCAAAGCCTCATAGCACAGCACAAGAAAGTCAAAGACCCGCTAACACACAACAAAAGCAATCCGCGGGCTCCAGGCTTTGCTAGCTGCCTCTGGCCTGCTCGCATCGAGGATTCGCTTACTGGACGAGCGGTTCGCCTCTGTTTCTCGAATGATCTTAGTAGTTTCTTTCAAACGGTCGGCTGCTTTTTCTGACTCAGTGCTCTAATTATTCGCTTTTGCGCACCTTGGTCGTCTTTGTCAAGTTCTGTGGTCCCTTGCGAGCGGTTCACTCTAAAGTTCACTCTGTTCTCATTCCCGCACTCAATTCCTATTCGAACGTTTTGCCCCTATTTCTCACATGTAGTCTAACCCAAAGTGTTGCAGCGGTGTGGTCCTGTTTGTCAGATGCCATAATCCTTTCTGAGCTTCGCTTTTGTTTCTCAACCACTCTAACTTATTCTGACCGGCTAGGTTCTTTTTCTCAAATGCTCTAGTCCGTTTCGAGCGGCTTGCTCCTGTTTCTCAAACGTTCCAATGCGTTTAAACTGGCTTGTTTTTTCTCAAATGCCTTAGTCCCCCTTTCGAGCGGTTTGCTCCTGTTTCCCACATGCTCTGGTCCCTTTCGAACGGTTGACTCTTTTTCTTACAAACCCCTTTCGAGCGGTTTGTGTCTATGTCTTGGGTTGCTCTAGTCCCGTTCAAGCGGCTTGCTCCTTTTCCTCAAATACTCTAGTCCCTTGCGATTGCTCTTGTTTCTTAAATGCGTTTGTCCCTGTTGAGTTGAGCACCATGGTACTCTTTTCTCTGCAGGTCTCATCACCTTCAAGGGGGTTAATTTCTGAGACGCTCCGGTCCCCGTCGAGCGGTTTGCTGCTGCCTCTCAAATAACCTAGTCCCTTGGGACTGCTCCTGTTTCTCAACTGCTTTTTTTGCGAGCGGTTGCTCTATTTGCTGAGATGCCTTAGTCCCTTGTTTCTCGCTGCTCTACTCCGTGTCCTTGTTCAACGGTTTGCTCCCTTTAAAGAGCGGCTTGCCGTATTTTCTCATGCACTAAACCCTTTCAAGCGGTTTGCTTCTGCTTCGATTCACAGATGCTGTCATCCTTTTTCAGCCTCCGTTTTGCCTCAAACCCTCTAAAAGTTCCTTTCGAGCGGTGTGCCTTCTTGTGCCCAACTGTTCTAGTCCATTTCGACCGGTTTGCCCCCGTTTCCCATGCGCTCGAATCGGTTTGCTCTGTTTCACTCACATAATTACTCTAATGCCAGACCCTCAAGCCTAAATCCTGAATCCCGCAGCCCCTCCTCCACCAATAAAGACCCCCAAAGTAAGCCTTAAGTCGGCCCGGAGCCTCTGCTCTGCCAGCCGTTCCAGGGCAGCTTGGGCCTCCCAGAAGAGGGCTCTTACAGCCTCTGAGGGCTTAAATGGGGCTCTTGGGGTTTTTTAGGGCTGTAGGGCTGATAGGGCCTATGGGGTTGATGTACGGTTGATTCGCTTTTTCTGTGGGGTTCAATGAGGGTCTTCTATAAGAGTCTCGCAGGCTGTATGCAGAGCTTGCCTGGGGGTTTGCGGGTTTAGGAGTTCAGGGTGTCGGGAGTAAAGTGTTCAGGATTGGGGTGGAGACGTTCGTGCACTGGGCATAGGGTTCCGCGGTTTGGTCTAAGTGTCCAGAATTTCGGCTGCATCGCGTTGATGGTTTAGACTATGCAACTTGGCAGCCATGTGAGAGCAAATCAGCGGTCTGGCTCGTGCTGGGCTGCGAGCTTCTGAATGTGGCTGAAGGCGAGAGTCAGAAGCACATGCACTCTGTACTGAGGCCAAACTCAGCATTCTGCACATTCCAACGACGAAGTTGCATATGAAAGACTGACCCAAGCATGCGTCCAAGAACTTCTGCAAGACCGCGGGACCAAGTTTGCAGACAGCCTGCAGATGTGGGAATGTCTTGGTTCCACGCCCAAAGTCAAAACAAACGCAGAAGCCCAAAACTGTTCAGTCCACCTCTGCGTGGCGAGAAGGAGACAGCTCGACCCCGATCACTCTGCGCACCTCAGACTCAGTTCAGTGTGCTTCCGGGGTTTCGAGGTGCCTGTTGACCGATTAGCGAAGTCTACATGGCATCACAACCAGCTGCTGCGACATGATGCCCAGGCGCCGGTGAAAGCAGCGCTGCCAGAAGGACGAGGGTTCCTGAAGGAGGGATCCCTCTTGCAGGGATCAAGGTTCAAGGCAAAGCTCAGTGAAGTCATTCCGCTCTGCTTCACTTGATCAAGTTGGCCGACCATGCCTGTGCTACAGCCCAGGTCCAGAAAGACATCGTCCAGGGTCAGCTGCCTCTGCAGTGTGAAGCTGTCTCTAGCTGTTTCGCCCGGTGTCTGGGGAGACATAAAAGGTCATGCTTGCATGCTGCGTACTGTCTAGAGGCAGCAGACGTGAGGTGCACGTCTGGGATGAATGAATGAGCTGATACTGCTTTCAAACTGATACTGATATATATA